CCAGCTGCTACATAAAGCGGGAGCCATCCTTCATTCCCACCTCTCATCCAGCCTTCCTCTCTCTATGGCCTCTTTCTGGGTTCAGAGCCCCCGCCTTTCCCCTGGACCGTTGTAGCCGTCTCCTGGCTGATCTACCTGCACCCACTCTACTTTCCTTACTGTAAGCACAGCAGTGACCTCTCAAGAGTATAAATCAGATCATCTTCTTTTCCCGCTTAAAATCCTTTAGTAGCTCCCCATTCACTTAGAGAATCTTAAGGAGCCTTCACTTAAGGCTCCTTAAGAATCCAAGCTTCCCTGTGATCTAGCCCCTACCTGTCTCTCCGCACCAGCCCTCTTTCAGTCCCGTCTCTCCTACGAGGACCCTCCCCTCAGGCCACCCTCCCTCCTTCCCAGATGCTGCCACACCCACGTCCACTCTCAGGAGGCTCACAGGTCCCCTCCTGCCCCCCCGCCCACCTGAAGCTGCACCCTCGTTGCCCTCATTGCAGACCCAGAGTGTATTTTCATAGCACTATTACAATCACAATTATGTATCTGTTAAGGCATTTTATTCCTGTATCTGTCTCCACTTCTAGACTTAAGAACCATTGTCCTAGTTGGGTTTTGTTTTGTATTATTTTGTCAGTTTGTGGGGTTTTTTTTACCACAGAATACCCCCAGCTTTCCAGAGAGCCTGAACATAGTAGATGATCAATAAATACACTGAGTGAATAAATAATAGATTCAACCGTAGATATTTACCGTGTTTATTGCCTGCAGAATAGGAGTTTAAATTCCTTGACTTGGCATTCAAAGCCTCCGCTGCTCCGGCGGCAGCCGGCTTACTTTTGCAACCTTACCTTTCGCTCTGCGCTTTAGCTGCCTGGGCCCCGGGGCCTTTCTCTGTCTTATTTCTGGCCCAAGGTCATTTCTCCCGCCACCCTTCCTGCTTCTGCCGACACTCGTCTCTCTCTTCCTCCCCCTTTCAGATTCATCTTTGTCCTTCAAATCTTTGTCACCCACCCACTTCCACAAAGCCTTTCACAAATTCCTCCATTGGAATTAAACCTCCTCCTACATGTCCATAGGATTTAGTGTTTGAATTTGTGATCACACTCGAGAGGGGAGAAAACATATGCGTGGTGCTAAAAGACGCTCTGGTTCATATGCTGCCTCTGTCGCTCTCAGGCTGCGAGATTCTGGTTCATTATGCAAACTCTCCCTTCCCCGTTCCCTCTTCTGTAGCATGCGTGTAGAATCGTGCTTGAACCCTGCAGGGCGCGGTGAGGACTGGCAATGGCAGCTACAGCGTAAGGCACACAGAGGAGAGGTGCCGGTGCAGCAGCCTGCATGGTAATGTGGTTAATTTGGACACGTTCGTTTCCTCTGCTAGACTCTGAGCTGTATTTGTCTAATTCCACTTTATCTAACCCGTCCCTGTCCCTCTCCGTAGCAGTATACACATGGGAGGAGCCCGAAAATGTGTGAATGAATGAATGAGCAGTAAATGCCCAAACCCTCAGGACCTATTGAAGGATCGCAGGAAGTAGGAGACTGGGGCTACTGACACCCACCCTTTCATTTAAAACAGCTCTGGTTAGAAGTCACCAAATCAGTCTGTGTTTCAGACGGTCTCAGCCCAGCCCTCCTGCTTCACTGACCCAAGGGCCCTTAGCCCACCTGCCCTGTGCAAAACACAGAGCAGTGAAGTCCCTGAGAGTCTGAGGAGGCTGCCATTTCCAGCTTCCAGACCAGCCTGAGACTTTTGCTGGCAATGAAGAGTTGGGAGTTTTCACCCCAATTTTTTCTCTCTTAATTCTGCAATACATGGAAGGAGTTCCAGCCAAAAGAGTTATTGCCTCCTCCTTGCCTGGGTCTTAAATCTTTGTTGAAAGACAGCTTGTTTTAATTGAAAGTGTTCAATCACTCTCTCCCCATCTCCCACCCACATCCCATTTCTTGACTCAGACAGGGTCATTGCAATAAATTACCTGGAGTGAGGCTCTCAGGGTTGGAGGAATACGTAATATGGTTGGAAGGGGAGAGGAAGAGAAGGTTGTCCCAGGCAACTCCCACCTTTAAAACAATGTCCTTTAAATAGAGTTTGTCCAAAATGATGGGCACCTCACAGTGGGATGTTTTGCTGGAACAGCCCGGCTCCTTTCCCTTGTGGAGCTCGAGAGCACTGATTAGCACGTCTCCAGTGTTGCTTCAGGCCTGTCTGTCACTGCAGGCTGGGGAGGAAGGCTCAGGCTTCCCTCTTCCCCATCCACTCAGTTATTCAGTCACCATCGTATGTTAGTTAGTCACACACGTCATCACAAGAGCCCTGTAAGGCAGACGTCAATTTTTACCTTCACAGATGAGGAAACTGAGGCTCAGGAGATTGACTGTCTTATGTGAGGCCCCACAGTGCTCTAGTTCCCTCAGACTTAATGTTTAAGGCCAGAGCTGTCCTTCCCTGTTGTCTGTGGGTCAGGAATTTGGGAAGGGCTCAGCTGAGTGGTTCCAGCTTGGAGTCTGTGATGAAATTGCAGTTAGACAATGCCTGGAGCTGGGAGAGCAGAGTGCTGGAGGAGCCGTGGGACTGCTGGGAATCTCTCTCTATCATAATCTCTCCATGTAATCTCAGGGCCTCTCCCTGTAGCCCCTCTATGGCTACTTTGGGCTTCCTCACAGCATGGCGACCTCAGGACTGCTTGCATGGCTGTTCAGGACCCCCGGCTGAAGTGTTCCAGTAAAGCAAGGAACAGGCTACATCACCTTTTCCGACCTTGCCTCAGAAGTCCCACAGTGTTATTTCTGCCATTTGTCTTGGTTACAAGTGAGTCACAAGACCACCCAGATTCAAGGGGAGGGGACATGGATCACCTCTGTCAGTGGAAGGAGGGTCAAGGTCATAGCATAGAATAGCACGTGAGATGGAGCTGCTGTTGCAGACCCCTTTGGAAAATACAATCTGCTATATACAGCACGTGGCAGAGCAGGCTTTGGATTAGATGCATCCGATTCCAAACTTCAGCTGCAACTCTTCAGCCCATTCTGTGGGGACCTCTCCTCTTTGCTGAGCCCCTGTAGCTCTAATTGTTGGCACAAACGATCCTGGTTTGGGCTCGTCAAGCTGCCAAGTCCTAGCTGTGAGGCTGCCTCCGGGGTCTGCTGGTCAGAGAGGCTAGGCCCAATGCCAGGTTGTGAACTTTTTAAAGAAGGGTACAGAGAAGGTCGGTGAGATCCAGAGGAAGGAAGCAGGTGGCAGCCCCAGAGCACAGCGGGCCTGCTGCAAAGCTCCTGTCACAACAGCTCATCCAGTGTTTTTCCTTCCCCA